CCACCAAATTAGTGTACATGTCACAACCATTTGCATGGATAGAGCCAGTTAGCTGATGCTTATCTTGTAGTATTATGACACAAGAATATAGATCTAATACCTGAATTTTCTTGATTTTTAGAGACTCAGCTGAAATCATAGTCAAAACACAGATCACACTGAAAATTTTAGTTGGGTTCCATATAAAAGAGTCCAAGAGGGATTGTGACTTGGAACCACATATAAGGCATCACAAAAAGTATCAGTATAGTAATTAATGGCTCATTCGTAACATGACAATACCTGTTATTTGTCATTGGTTTCAGCTGGGTCTCATGTCTATGGAGATTCTCAATCACGAAAGTCATGATTGTCCCAAAAATACTTTTTCCAAGAGGCATCTCCACTTTCTTGGGGTTTTTTGCTCCTTTGAAAACGTTTCATTTCTCATCCAAGAAGCTTCTTCAGTTCTGTTCAACCAAACGTTTTCAAAGGGGGGGGGGAGGGGGGAACCCCCAAGAAAGTTCAGTTGTCTTTAGAAAAAGCACCTTTGGGACAATTGAATCCCATGTAGAAAAACAATCAGGAGATTTCACACTTCGAAGCCAAGTTTTTGTGTCACAGTGCAACCAAAATCAGTCCACCCCAAAGTTGTAAATGGCTTGGCTCGTCTGTGGTTTAATATACTTTCATAGAAGATAGATTTCTGTGGTATGATAAAAACATAGAATATCGGGGCCCTTTTTGTCCACCCTTAAAGCAAACGATTCTTTAAGTTCTGATATTTTTTAATGAGAAGACCGTCGGCGAATCTATAGCCAGAACTGAGCCTCCTCGCCGATACATCGATTATTTAAAGCGGCGATTCGAGCAGTCTGGGGAGGAGGGACAGCCATCGCCGCCTTTTCCCAGGCCCGTCTCGACTGAAGGCATTCGCTCCTTCATGCCATCACAACAGCCGCCCCCCTCGCCTCTTGCCATCAGCCGCCAACATCCCCTCTAGCCACGGCTTACCCCACCCACCCAACCCTCGTTCCGCGCTCAAGGCTCACCTGGTGCCCCCGACGTTGAGCTGGATGATCTCCCCGCTGCCCGCCCCGGCAAAGCCGGTGCCGTTCCCCGCCATTTTCCCCAGCAGCAGATCTTGCCCCGAATACCGCCTGTCGCCGCCGCCGCCGCCGCCTCCAGCCGCCTCCCCGGAGTCGAGGGAGGTGGGAAAAGGAGGCGGCGGCGGGGCCGGGGGAGAAAACGGGGCGTCCAGCGAGGCCGTAGAGCCTTCCCCTGCAAGCGCTAAACTGCCGGGTCTGAGATCGGAGAGGAGGAGGAGAAGGAGGAGGCGAAGGATCTCTCCCTCCCGTCAGGCATTCAGAGGCGCCGCCGATGTACCGCCCGCCCCCCACCTCCTCCTCTGGGCCGAAGCCGCTGATCCTCTCAGCGCCGCCGCGGCGCTCTACGCCAAAAAAAAAAAAAAAAAAAAGCAACGCGCGGCACCTGGAGGAGGGGACTCCGCGAGGGACAAAATACCAGAGTTGGTTGCGTCTTCGCGAGAGTTCAAACGGAAGGCGGGAATATGCAAAACAAACCCAAGAACGAACGCTCGGCAGGGAGGTACGCGGAAGAGGTTCGATTAGACGTCCCTTGCCCGGCCTATTTGTTCAAGGGAATCCCGGGCCGTTCTTTGGACACCGGTTATTTAAGGCTCCCATTTTGGCTGCTTCATCGTATCCTTTAAGCTTCTGCAACTTCGCCGTCTGCCAACCGTCTTGGATTTCCTTTCCCAGCAGCGTTATAGAATTTAAAATCCAATGCATCTGCATGGAGCTCGTTGATGACCATTTTCACTGGATTATATTTTTAGCATATTTCTAATTTTGTGGTTGCATAATAAACATAGAAAATAGAGGGAAATTGCACTTGACTCCCAATATTCACTAAAACGAGAAATCTTTTATAGGTTTGTGGCACTCATGCACACAGCAAGCTTTCGCATGGCTACTTTTTAATAACGAATAATTCAAATACCTTGTTTTGAAAGTATATGTAGATTTTGTTTGAACTCTGCAGGGCAGAGATACTTACATCTTTTTAAAAAAATGGGGCTTGTGGATGTGTATATTATATCAAAAATCCTACTATGGCAAGAGAGCCATTCCCATCAAGTTAAAGCTTGTCCACTCTTAACTTTCCATGGGATTTACAACTCTTAATAATGATCCTTATCCAGTCTCTTTTGCAGCTGCCCCAGATCACAGCCAAATAGTGCTACCCTGATATGTATTCAGTTGGTCATTGGCAAAGCATCTTCTTGATTCAGCTGCCCTTTTTCAGTATATCTGCAGTCAAATGACAAAATAGCTGGCAATCATATTACTGTCACATATATGGGGTAGATCTCAATGCAGAACTTAGTCCAGTATATCTAAATTTCTTAATTTGCTCCCCTGTCATGTCCTGATTTTTTTAAAAAAATGGACTACAGTCAAAAGAGCTGTCATAATAATTCTTCCCCTCCCTCATTTAAGAGTTCTCTTCCTTTCCTTTATTTATATAGATAATAAGTACTGATTTTAAATTCTTCCATTCCTTTTGGCAAACTGTGTTTCTGCCATTTAACTATTTTGGTATTTCAACCTTACACTAAACTTATAAAAGCTACAGAGACAAAGCAAGTTTGAACATCCAGCTTTATTATAGAATGTGATATAGATGTGTCTTGCTTTCGTGTGTAGTTATGGCAAGCTTGCCAAAGGGATGTAAAGGGAGTCCCTGTTCTAAAAAATGCAGTTGGATCACTCTTGCACAGTTCCAAAGGATTACTAGAACAGTTTCACTACAGCAAAATGGTGATAAACAGTGCTGAGCAGAGGCCAGAAGGAAAGTGGCATGTCTGCTGAAGCCTGAAATATCTCTTTTATCCTATACTGTTGGTTTAAGGACAAAACACTAACCCTACAGTAATTACTAAAACTTATGTCACTCATTGGCTGGGGGTGAGATTGGAAACAATATGACAGTATCAGTTCCATGGTTAGAGTAAGTGAGGCAGGATTTAGAGATTAGGAAAATAAGAAATAAAATACAGAGAGAAATGCTATGGCAAACCACAGACTGTTACATATTGCTGAAAAGTTGGACCTTTGAAGTCAGATCCTATTCTATGTTTGAAGATCATTCGCATATTCAAATGGAATATATATATTTATGTATTTGCAGACCTGAACTGTGAAAATACAGTTCTCAAAACTAAAACCTATGTAGCTAATAAGGCTGCAATTTCAGGGAAAGATGCAGCTGTTTTTAGGAATCTGAAGAAAACCACATTGGCACCAACATTGGCACCAAGCAGAAGTAGCATGCACCATTGTGTACTTATGTCCAGGGGTGGGATTCTACCGGTTCTGTCTGGCTCTGTAGAACCAGTAGCTCTGAAGACCAGCGGACATAGAACCGGTTCTATGTCTGCTGCTGTTTTGGCCCACCCACCAGCCTGGGCTCTTATCTGACCTTTATTTCCTGGATTTTCACCCACAGCTGCTTAGCGCAGCACAACTGCGGTTGAAAAAGCAGGAAAAAAATGCTTTTTCAACCGTTGCACACCCGCGTGCAGTGCTGCTCAGCTGTCTAGGCAGCAAGCTGATGATGATTTACACATGCGTGCAGCACGCATCAGGCGCAAATAGTAAATCACCGAACCGGTAGTTACACCGGTCGGATCCCACCCCTGCTTGCATCCTGCTATCTGGCATTTGTCATGGCATTTTCATGATGACTTCATGCATGTAACATCATTTGCTAATTTTGCCGCTCCCAAGCATATTCATGGTACTATACTGAAACTCCTGAAAACTGCAAAACATTTTAGCAATCAAATTAAGCTATATTTGGAGTAGTACAGTCAATGATTCAATATATTGGGGGTCGGATGAGGAGAAATGGAAAATCAACACAATTTGAATGATGTATTCCAATTTGCAAAATATTGATACCTTAATGACAGTTGATCCTCAAATTGGGGACAATTGTATCCAAATTATTCAGGAATTTTAAAGCAACAATAAACTTTTTTTTTCAAAACTATCTTAGAATCTTGTATTACTGGAATGCAATAAATTATCCCAGACTCAGATATGCTAAACCATTTATGGCTAATTTGATTACAAACAGAGAACCAAAGTAAGCCTGAATGTCAATATAATATGCCAATATTCCTACTTTATATGATATGAAAAAATGGCCATTAAGTTTATGCAGAAAGTGATTCTTCACCACTTCTGGTCTGCTGTTACTGTTGTTAATTTTTGTTGCACTTCAAAGTCCAGTACACAGTAGTAGTCTGTGCAAGTAAAAGATTGGGGAAGGGAAATCTCCGTTTTGGCAAGTCACATGTTTTCAAGACAATTATAGAAAACTACTGTGGTGCAATATTAACATTTGCCCACTAGATGGGTATATTGTTCTGGGATTGTAATGAATCATTTCAGTTAATCTTGTATGCATTTTCACAGCTGTATCCTTTGGTCACTTGTTATATCACAATGAAGGAAAGACCAAATAAAATGTTTTGAAGGAGAAAACATTAATCCTGTTTCATAGAAATTTAGTTTTTATGAAGCAGGATTAATTACATTTATTATTTAGTTGACAATAAAAAAAATTGTCAACCTGATGAAACTCTTATGATGAAACATGTAGCAAAAGTCTTGATCTTTGTCAACTTTCCATAAATAAGTAGTGTTTTCAGTGTAACAATAGAGCTACAGTATTTAGAATAAAGACCTAGATATTTTTTGTAAGTTTTTCATAATTATTCAATGACAGGTTTTTATGTATTTTTCCTAATTTTACTGGATTGATCTTTCTAGTCCATCTGTCGCCCAGGTGATACTGCACGAACTGCACAAGCCACATAAATCACATGAGCCAGTAACAAATACTTGTAACACCATACTAAATTTTGAACTAGCTGTAGTAGACTTTCATTAACATAAAAAAAAAAAAAACTTAGTCTGGGATTGGAATAAATTACTCCTTTGACTCTCCCATTACTTTTGTGGCCTAAAAAGGTGGCATTACATATACATAAATTTTAAAAATGGCTATTTAGGGTCTAAGTATGACTAGTATCCTTTTTTCCCCCCAGTATATTCTCTTGTTTTTCCATTCTAATAACACTTTCCTATGCATATCTACTTAAGAGAACTGAATGAGATTTAGGACTACAGTCAAGGAGACATATAGAACAACATGTGTAGTAATAAAACTTAGATTTAATTCCATGGTCAAATCCGTTGCTAGTAATTGGGACAGGAGGTAAAATATTTATATCAATCTAAGCCAGGGGTGTCAAACTTGCTGCGTTACATGACATATCACAACTTTTCCCCCTTTGTTAAAATGTGGGTGGGCATGGCCAGCTTTTGACATCCCTGACCTAAAACATGGTAGTGCAGTGGTTAAAATGCAGCATTGAAGGCAAGCTCACTGCCAGGATTTCAATTCTGTCCGGCTCAAGGTTGACTCAGCCTTCCATCCTTCAGAGGTCGGTAAAATGAGGATTCTGTAAAGCACTGTGAAGCAGTATATAAGTCTAAGTGCTATTGCTAATAAATTTACCACTTTTTTTTTCTTGTACTAGTCCATGTATTACTAAACTTCATAAGGATGATCATCACAGGAACTGAAGAAAAAATATTATTATTCCTTTCTGCAAATACATGAGTACTTGTCCCCGTGACACTGGATTTGGAATGTACACATGTATTATCCCTCAGCAATTTGTTTCTTTGAAATATGCTAGATTCAATATGTACAATATAAAGTCAGAAATGCAGAATGTAAATAAGTGGTACTTCTGGAATAAATTTATATTTACTGTGTAAAAGTGGAAGTTTTCTTAAATTAACATTTCAACCACTAAGGGTCACTATAGGACTTCAATATTTTACAGTGTTCTGTGAATTTCTTGATTGATTCTGTGCCATCAAGTCATTTTCAATTCCTACTGACCACATTTTCTCCTTGAGTCTCTAACCTAGCATTTTAGGTCTTCCACCATAGCTTAACATTGAGAGAGAGAGAGATCTTGCTTAACACACACACACACACACACACACACAAATATAAATTTGATTAATAGATAAATAGTGCATTGCACCCATTGCCACTAAAATGAGTCCATTCACCTTGCTGCTGGATTTCTTGGGTAATTATTAATGTTCTTAACAAAAATAAGTGCCTCTTAAAGTACAGGAGTTCTAGCAATCCTTTTATGGGCATTTTTATCTATGTAAAATCTTTTTCACTAGTAGCATCTGAATATAAGATCAAACATTATTGAAAGGTGATTTTATAAAGTTTATAAAGCATGATTCTATTATTCCCAGAAGAATGATTTAGTACTTTGGTGATCATGGCATTTTAAAACTTCGTGCATGAATAAAACAG